GGTACCAGCTTCCTCCATGGTGTTTTACTTGAACAGTGTTGACATTTTAACAAATCCCATGAAGCTCCCCTGAAGTGGAGGAGTTAGCTCTTTTTTTTTTTTTTTTTGCTTTTACAGTGAAATATTTGTTTGATACAGTGATCATGTTCCAGTAACTGAACTACAGTACATTAGTATTTGATGACCAATGGCGTTCTATAGGATGTTAAACCAAGAAGTTCTAAACTGCTGGAGGAAACCAAATATTTCTGAAACTGTACAGCTACTGTATTTCACACAATTGTTAAAGTAAACAAATCTTGCATTACTATGTAGCTAATGAAAATAGTGGATAAAGCATTCAATGTTCCTTGGCTTTATTCTTTTTTTTTAACAGATTCCTCTGTTCATTAAATTCAGTAAAAAGGTCAATCTTGAAACATTTTTCCCCCCCCCCCCCCTTGCCACAGGAACTTAAATCAAGTTCTTCTTCCCACTAAATATGACACAAACATGTGTATGGGTTGGGAAAGCTGAAACAGTACTGGGGCTAGTTGTTCTTTTGCTCTCCTTTTTAAACAAGTTTTTAATCTCTATCTTCACTTGCCTCTCCCTCCCCACGCCCAAAAGAAAAACATTTCAAATTGATTCCCTTCAAGAACTTTCCAACAGAAACTAGCATCACAAACATAGATTATTATTTTTTTCTTTCAGTATTTCACCTCTTGGATTTCTCCAAAATAAGCTGGGCCTTTATACTGGAGCTAAAAATACATTTTTATTTTTTTTATTTTTTTTTTAGTTCTCCATTCCCACACTGCTAGCCATAGTAGGGGTGAAGGGCAGTGTTATGGCTTTAATTTCTAGTACATAAAAGTAGTAGTGTTCAAAACAAACTGCATGAGGTGCTTATGAAACGCCAACAGACCCTGATCATTGGCAGGCAGGCTCGAACTGGGGACCTGTGTAACTTAATGCATGAGCCGCTACAGCATGAGATAACAGGCTTAGCTAACAACCAGGGGAAGACTCATTTTATCTCTGTAGGGAAGACTCATTTTATCTCTCTAAGAGATCTCGGTGCCACTAGATGGGACACAACACCACAGCCAGGAGGTGTGTGGGTTACACTTACTCAGTCCCCTCCATGCATACCCTCAATGAAATTCTTCACAGCTCAAGTTTGGAGAAGCCAGGGTGGGGCTATGACAGCATGGGGAGGAGCAGCAGCACATAGCTATCAAGGCTGCCATTGCCATAACCTGCTATATTATTATGAATCTTCCCACAGACTTGTGACATAAAATGGCATAACGAGCAGCAATTAGGGTAGGCACTGGGAACAGCTAATGTTCCCCTGGAAATCTGAGGTGAAATTCAAGACCCACTGAAGTCAATGAGAGGTGGTGTGTGGTTTTTTTGTTTGTTTTGTTTTTTTGCTGTCAACATCAGCGGAATCAGGATTTCACAGCGATATTGAGTAACTTATGCCCAACAAGGCCACCTAAGTTACTGCTGTCCAGAATATCGGTAACTTATGCACTACAAGTCTGCATACTACTATTTCATCCCACCAGCAGTACATGTGGGTTTGGCTTTGGTGGTATGCACAGTAGGCACTAGCTACACAAGGCGGTTTTGCGGATGTGTTCAGTGTGCTGCAGTGCAGGAATGCATAAAACTCCTGATACTCCATCCCGCCTCTGCAGGAATAGCAGCAGCATTGTAAACCATGGCCACTTTTAAAACCAAGCCCACTTTGCCTGCTGGGAACTAGAGCTCGTTGACACTGAAATTTTGATGAAAAATATAGTTGACATTTCAGTGGAGGAAAAATTAAGGGTGGGGGAGGGGAAAGAGGGACTGGCCAAAGGGTCATATCGGATTAAGGGAAAGAAACAGGAATTTTTCTTTAAATCAAAAGTTTCTCTTCTGTTTTCTGGCCAGCTGCTCTGTGTACATAGAACAGCTAGCAGGGTCCAGAGCTACCCTTAAATCTCTTCCAACTGGTGGAGTCCTTCTGAATTTATTTTACCACCAAGTGGCAAGTAACATAGCTCTTAAAACTGAACTGAAAACAGAAGTGACTTGTGATATAAACATCAAATTTAGGAATTGTGGAGAAATTTTTGCGTCTCCTTCACCCCACTCCCCCAAAATCTATGTAGATATCCACAGACTCCCTTCCAGCTAGTATAACTTTCCCTTTTTTTTTTTTTTCCAAATCAGCTCCATCCCACCCCCAAAACAAAACTAACTCTAGAAAAACACTCAAATAATGGGTCCTTCCCAATGAGGTGTCTCCCACTCCTTCCTCCTCTCTCTGCTGCTACCTGGGGCAAGGTTGGAACAACTGAGGTGCTGAGTACAAGAAGACAGCCTTTAATACAAGACTATATTAAAAGAACACATGTATCTACCAGAGAGCCACATTATCTATGCTGCTATTTGGTTTTTTAAAAATTAGTCATAAGCAAAATAAAACATCTGTTTAAAAAGCGTTTGAAGTCAGATCCCAAAAAACTTTATAATGATGTTCTTAAAGAAAGCACATCTGCTGTTGAGTTCCACAAAAGAGGTATACTTATGTTTCTGTTTTACCACAAAGCAGACCTACAAGTGGCCTGTTCTTCTGTGTCCATGTCATGTGCAATTTAATGTTCTAAAGACTGCATTAATAACCATGGAGCAAGTTATAGGAAGACTCAGTTTAGATATTGGAAGGATGGTTACTGTACTGCAAGAGATCCTGTACTGGACTTCTGCCATTATACCTCTGGGATTCTAATACATTAACTCAACTGGCTTTTCCAGTAATGGTAGTGCTTCACTTGTCAGGTTTACACAACATCCTTGTTTTCATCTCTAGTGTGTCTTGTCTGGGACATAGGTGCGATCACAAATGATGCCTTACCGTGTTCATTGGTCACAGTCATGCAGAGCAAATACTGAGCTATATAACTGGTTGCAGCCTAACTCATCTTCCATTGGAATGGAATGGACATCAATGGAAAGAATCTCATTAGGTTCCTAGGAGCTGGATCAGGCCCTAAGTGTGCTTCTCTTAAAGAATGATACACTTCAAGGATGACAGTGATATCAATAAATCTTGGTTGTTTTGTGCACTAAGAAATTGCTGGGTTTTTTGATGTAGACTCCGTTCAGTGTGAATGTGCTGCCAATGTGGAGTTACTTCCCATTCATGAAGATGGGGTAGTCTCTCCTTTTGCAGTAGGTGAGGAGTTGAGCATAAAAGGCATCATAAACTCTACAAGCAGGATGCATTTTATAATTTTGATTGTTTTAAAAGGGATTTAGCTCTTCTGCTGTCAAGCAACAGAACCTTAATTTTTGCTGAATTCTTAATCTTCTGACATGGGGGGGTCTCACACGGTATTCTCTGGGCTGTTGATGGTGCAAAATGAGCTGTCTGCTGTCTTTCTTCCTTGTTTCCACCTGCTGAACGTACATTAAAATACTTTCCAAGTAGCTGTAGTTGGTTTGTGAGGATTGTTATTGGGTGTGAATGGGAGTGGAGAAGGTCCATGTGATCAAAAGTAGGAGGAAGGTGATGCACAACATACTCTGGATGGGATTTTCCAAAGCACTTGGCACTGAGCTAACTCTGCTCCCATTTGTCAATGCAAGTTTTACCATTCACTTCAATGGGAGCACAGTTAAGTCAAAGCTGAGTGCTTTCATAAATTCCACCTTCTCTCTCTGTTAATATGTGGGTTACTTGTAACACTTTAAAAAAAATAGAATTCGAGAGCCCTAATCTAAAGACACTTTGAAATGAATGTAGAGTAGTTGAGTGTATATCACTCTAGCAGTGATCCTATAAATAGGCAATCCTAGCTCTCCATTTATATAAAAAATTATGTTTTGTCTGTCTTTTTAGGGTGACATTACATACATGACAGCTTCAAAGCAGATGAATGTTTTTGTTGTTTACATAACTGGTTCCCTGTTGTAGAGAAAGAAATCACCTTGACTTTCTGACTTGGTATTTCCCCAGTATTTCAACAAACATAACTAGAATTATAACCTAAACAAATTATAGGTGTGCTTAAAATGTCCCATTTTCAATCCTGAAATGGATTAATGCAAATACCTGAGGTAGTTTGGCCAACATGTTCTAATCTAGCTGCCTGAAGCTGGGCACTTCAATCTATATTAGGTGCATCTATAAATGTGGTCAGATTTTTTTTTTTCAGAGGTGCTGTGCACTCTCCACATCCATGTAAGTTAATAGGAATAGCAGGGGCTTGGCACCTCTGAAAAATCTGGCCATGTAAGCACCTAATTCTAGACATCCAATTTTGAAAACTTGGGCCTGAGTCTTTTAGATGTTTTTCTCTATATACAGCTGTCCTGAGCCAGAAGGCCACATGATTTTATTGCAGAGTTATTAGTTGACCCTTTTTAATTTTTTTTTATTTTAGAAAATATTATCCCAGTTGTATTTGTTACATACTACATAACCAATTCTAGTTTTACTTGCACATCAGAAGCTCTTAATCTCTATATTATAAATAATCTTATAGTAACCTTTCTCCACATTTAAACTAGATCTTAAAAATATATTTCTTTAATGTATGGCTCTTGTAACTTTTTTTATAATTTATATATTAAGTCGGAGCAGATTGTAGTATGATGCTCTCTACCGCCTCTCATTGTGAGGGGGTGTGTGTATTTTTCAATTCCATGTAATTATTTCTAGGTGTATATTTTTACTTTTGTAATAGGTATATAATTAGCTTATGTTTACAGGTCTCTGCAGTGGCGTCTGTTTACCACAAATTTCAAGAACAAAATTCTGTGAACTTGTAGAAAAGATTAACTTGCGAGTATTAAATATATCTGCGAATCATCAGGAACCATGAGCACTCTTCTCCTCTTTTTGCCCCCCCCGCCTTTAAAGTGCAAACTATTGGCAGTTAGTATGAGTTCTCATTAATTGTTTTTCTTCTGTGGAGTCACAGCTAACCATCTGTTTCTGTGTGTTCCCAATGTTTTAGGGGAGAAGCCGTACAAATGCACATGGGATGGCTGCGACTGGAGATTTGCTCGCTCCGATGAGTTAACACGCCACTACAGGAAGCACACAGGGGCCAAACCTTTCCAGTGCGCTGTGTGCAATCGTAGCTTCTCTCGCTCTGACCACCTTGCTCTGCACATGAAGAGACATCAGAACTAAACGCTGGGTTCGACGTGGAGGCTGTCTGTATCTATGCAATTTCCAAATGACTTTCAACATGTGGTTAGAATTAGTTTTAATTTTTGACTATTGACTATCCATAAAGTCTCCAAAGAAACTGGAAATGTATATTTTGTATATTTATGAGGAAACAGGGAAGACACTGTACCACAGTACCAGAGTGTTCAATCATTTATTTTGTTTGCTCTGATCATGTATATGGCTTTAGTCAGCAGATTTCATCTCAAGTATTATGTCTCAGCACATTGCATCATTATAGATTATTTTCTTACGGTGTTTTGACCAAAGCACTGTCATTACTGTGGCAATGTTTAGTAAATGAATTAATGGGAGGGCATAGACGAATGAACACGGAGGACAAGCCATGAATTGTAGTCTGTCAGGTTTTTACTGGACATATTTAGTACTTGTGTGGTTTTTTTTTTTTTAAATGTTGTCTTTCTGTGGAGATAAAATATATAGAAAAATTCATAAACAGCCATAGAACAAAAAGTTTGTTCGGTATGTTGCATGTTTGCTATGACAACGATTTTGTAAATATGCAAATCAGCTTTTAAGGTTTATTACAAAAGTTTTCTAGGAATCCTCTGAAAATTCAGACGTACATTTGATAATATGGCACATTTTCAATTAAATTTATTTAAATACCTCTCAAAGCTTTACCAACTTGGTTTCATTTTCTGAAGAAAAGTGAACTAGCCATTCAGACATTTTGTACCTGTTAAAATAAATGTTATGCACTGAATATTCAAAACAGGATTGAGTTTTCAAAATGCTTAAAAGGGCAAAACATTTAGAATGAACTGCAAATGTTGAAAGCTTAAATAATGAGGATAGTTACAATATACAGAATGTTAAACCTCTTACTATAAGCTAAACTTAGTATCACTTTAAAAAGAAGGATTTAGGATGCAATTTTCATAGACTGACATGTTAAGCTGGTTTAGCACCAGTATGATCTAGTTTCATGTGGATGTTGCATGTAATTTACCAGAAGGTAAAGGATACAGTAATTTTATTTAAAATTACAGTGCAGTTTAGTTAATCCACTGTTAACATTGACACACACCAGACAAAAGTCACTGCTGACATAAATAGATGCAACTGAAGTCAAAGGAGATCTGCCCTTTTATGCCAACAGTGAACTTAGTCCACAGCGTTCTGTCTGGAAATAGGAAATGAAGGGCCAAAAAATGAGGTTACACTTTGTAGGACTTGGCCGAAATATCTACAACATAAAGGAAACAACTAATACACATATGCAATTCACAAACTGTGATTTCATTATGTCAACCAGTAGGTGGAATAAACAACCAAAAAGCTAAAAAAGGGTCTCAAAGGAAAACATAACTTTGTTAAAACTGTTGTTTGTCTTTTTATTTATTTTGTGGTATATGGTAGACATTTTTTAAGACCATTTTACATACACTTGATAAATTATAGTTTGTTTGTTATAGTTAGAAACATTGCTCTTAATTGTAAATAGTTGACAAATGATGTAAATAATTTTGTAAGGCTTCAAATGTTTATACATGGAAACACATGCATAAATTGGTTACTGTTTTGCTTCTTTTTCCCTACTTCCCCTCCCCCCCCCGCTCCCCCTTATTTTTGTATTTGTGGCATTTCCTATGCAAATGATGGAGCAAACAGCTGTATAGTTGTAGAATGTTTTGAGAGAGAATGAAATGGTTTATATATAAAGACAATTTTTTGGAAAATAAAACAAAGTGCCTAAAATGAATGTGCCTGAGTGTTCTCTGTATAGCTCCCTACCAGTGACTTTGCATATTGATTTTCAAAAAATAGAATTCTTAGAGGCAACACTGTACGTCCTTCATTGCAAGGACCATCATTTTCTGCTTGGAAAGTACCTAGCACTTCTTGGGCACCACTACAATTAAAATAGTAAATATGAAGTAATAAAAGCTAGCTTTATGGTGCTATTATTTTATTTACATCTGTTCTGCAGCTCTGTCACCTTATGTGAAAGGTATATACTATTATCCACTATCTTCTCTCCATTTCAGGATCTTTTCTATTGAAGGAGAGAGGCTTAGTCACTTTTAAAAATATATAAACAAATGTATACACGCAACTACTGGGTTACATCCATTTTCTGTGCTCCTGCAAACTTGGGGCACGTCTTCACTACCCGCCGATCCGGCGGGTAGCAATCGGTCTATCGGGGATCGACTTACCGCATCTAGTGAAGACGCGATAAAATCGATCCCTGATGGCTCTACCGTCGACTCCGGAAATCCACCGCGGCAAGAGGCGGTAGCGGAGTCGACGGCGGCACGGCAGCGGTCGACTTGCCGCTGTCCTCACAGCCAGGTAAGTCGACCTAAAATACGCCACTTCAGCTACGCTATTCACGTAGCTGAAGTTGCATATCTTAGGTCGACCTCCCGCTGTAGTGTAGACCTAGCCTTGAAGAAAACTAGTACTTCCTGGAAGGAATGGAAACTACAGTAGAGCTGATCCTGTAGAAGAATTTTACACTTACAGCACCTTGATGAAAAGATCTCAAATGACTCAATCTTCTCACACTATTCTATCCCATAGGGGTATTGTTATGTAGATTACAGATGAGCAAACTAAGACACAGCAGCTAGGGAGTTCTTTCCAAGGTTATGGAAGGATGAGAAATTGAATCCTGACATCTAAGTCTTTGCTCCAATCACTAAAGACACAGCTACATTTGAGAATTTACAGCGGCGCAGCTGCAGGCTCTTTAATGTAGCCACTCTAAGCCAATGGGGGAGAGCTTTCCCGTCGGCTTACCTACTCCAGCCCCTGTGAGCAGGAAATGCTTTCCCACCAACATAGCACTGTCCACATCAGCACTTATGTCAGTGTAATTTGTCGTTCACGGGGGTGATTTATTCACACCCGTGAATGACAAACTGTAGTGTAGACTGAGGGCTTGTCTCCACTTACTGGGAGATTGATGCACAGCGATCCATCCACCTGGGGTTGATTTAGCGGGTCTAGTGAAGGCCCACTAAATCGTCCACCGAGTGCTCTCCTGTCGATGCAGCGCAGGGTAGACACCGCAAGAAGTCGACCTAAGGTACGTTGACTCCAGCTATGTTGTTCATGTACCTGGAGTTGCGTCGCTTAGGTTGACTTAGCCCCGTAGTGTAGACCTGCCCATAGCCTTTGTCATACTCTATATCCTAATCCTTTCCCCCCCCCCACTTCCTTATTTTCCCCCCACTGATGCCTTCCACATTACATAATCACAGGCTTGTTTATGCCACAAATCAAAATCCCATCTTGCAATAGAAAAATGCCAATGAAATTATTAATTAGTGGAGAAATTGTCTATAATAATGTATATTATATACACACAATTCTGTGCAACTACAGTGACCAACTATCAGAGATTAATGTTGGAGAATAAGACTTAGTGTGGTTTCAAAACATATCTATTTAATGAAAGATGCACATGATGTAGCCATGCATCATAACATGATGCATACCAGAACTAAACAATGAAGCTTTCTTTACTGAAATACATAATTCGGTGTCCAGAGTGCATGGTTTTAAGGCAATTATCCAAATGATATTTTGCTGACTCAAATTTTTTTTTAAATTGTAAAAATGATCTTCCTCACAAATAAGAGTGGCTGATTTGCTCCCAAAATTCATAAAAGGGCTTGTGTGACGGTAACTATCATGTGGTAGCTTTGGAGCAAAGGCAGTGAAGTACTCCAACACATTGACAATGTCCACGCACACAAATTATGCCTCTGCATAATAAGGTAAAGGCTGCTCCCAATGATGTTGAGATGTGTGCACTGGCTTCCTGTGTGACCACATGATTTTGTTGTTCTCTTTCGTTTCCCACACAGTGCAGTTTCTTCCTCTTGCTTTCACCTCAGCTGGGAAGTAGGACCTCTGTGCCCAGTGAGTTCTCATTCTTGAATTGGGGTCTTTATACATTCTTAATGGCAAGGAGTACCTCTTTAATCTGTTTTGTAAAGTGCCAGGAGCATCTACTGTGCTGTGTAGCCCTAGCAATGGGAAGTTTTACCTCCTTTTATCTGTTTTGAATTTGCCACTGTTCAATTTCATTCCCCCCATCACTTCTATGCTTCCACACAACCCTGCTCTCAACATGCATTTCCCCAGCTCCTCATCATGGCCTCCTGCACATCAAGTACATTCAACCTTTAAACAGTGATTTGTATCAACATTTAAAAGTGGAATTGGAATGTGGTAGGGGAAGTATAGTAGGAATTGTGTATGCAGAGGTGGGGGGAGTGGGCATGCCAGCAGTGGCAGGGGAAACTAGACTGGAGAAAGTAACATGGCTTTTTGGTTAGTTTTGAATAACTGTCTGTTTGTTTGCTGTTTTCTGTGTGACTTGTTCTAACCAGTTAGGACCTCGGGCCATACGGGGCTGGTTGAAGGATGACACAGTGTCACAGGAACCAAATATGAACTTGGAAAGAAACTTTTTCTTCTCTGTTCACTTATCTTTAGGACACAAAATCACAGCACTGACTCTATACTCATATACTCACAGCTTTTCTCCCTGTGTCATACTGTATAAATTGGTCAAACTTCCTTTTTTCTCTGCCTGCAATGCTTGGTCACTACATATGACATGGTTTCACTATGCACATAATTATATTTGCACCCACTTTAATTTTTTGAGCATGAGTCCCAGACATCTGAATAGAGGCTTCTCTTTTCCATGCGACTGACCAAAGACGTGTGATGCCAAGGGGGGATTCTCATACTAGTTCTGAGGCAACAACTCAAAAATGTTCAGCTGTTCGCCGTGGAGTCATGGGGTTTTCAACCGCCCTTTTTATTCTGAGCTGCCCATTTTCCCATCTAACTCCCTTTTTGACTGTTGCAGCAGTTTAACAGCTTTGGCTGCAGGAATTTCTGGGACAATGTAGTGTACTCTTTTACAGAGACTGAGAGAATCACACTGGTAGATTTGCCACTTTTCCTGCCTGAGGAATGAAAATTCTGAGATCCCCTCTCTAAATAGTTCCCCCAATGGCCGCTTTTCTTCCCAGCTTCAAGACAATTATAGTCTAGGGTTTGGAGCTTGTTGTTGTTGGTTCTTTTTATACTTGTTTAGCTTTCCTTGTCATTGTGGTCGGTCATTATTCAAGAACGTAAGAACAGCCATACTGGGGGTCAGACCAATGTTCCATCCCAGTATCCTGTCTTCTGACAGTAGCTGCTGCCAGAGGCTTCAGAGAGAATGTACAGAACAGGGCAATTACTGAATGATCCATCCCTTGTCATAAAGCCTGATTCAATAACAATCAATGTCCAGCTTCTTCATCTCACAGGACTCGGGAGTAGGGTGACCAGATGTCCCGATTTTATAGGGACAGTCCCGATATTTGAGCCTTTTTCTTATATAGAAGCCTATTACCCCTCACCCCGGTCCCGATTTTTCACACTTGCTGTTTGGTCACCCTACTTAGGAGCCACCAAAAATCTGTTTCTGTGGATTTCCATGGCACACAAGCCAGCCTTTGGACTTGATCCTATGAAGTGCTGAGCATCCTAAATTCGCATTAATGGGTTCAATGTTGATAACAAGTGAGGAGTCTATCAACACCAGCATTGTGCCCATAGTTCATGCTGAATTGGGTCTTTCACTCCTGCTGTCTTTCAGAGAGTAGAATGATGCAACCCAATATGAAAAGTCTTCAGTTTTCTTTGGCCTTCTGAAGTTTTGATTGTCAGTGACAGCAGCAAAACTTTTATTTTAAAGAACTATTTAATTTGTTAAGCTGGTACTTCCAAAATGGACATTTGAGATAGACTAGAACCTGAATGCAAACTCTATAGAACAATAATTTTGTGAGAGTCTGGCTTTGAATCCAAATCAACCCCTGGGATCAGATTCAGAGTGGAACTATTTTCCAGTTCTGTTCTGGATGATTTTGGTCCAACAGAACAAAAATCTCACAAGCACCACCAATATTATAAGATTTCTCCCTTGCAAGGTGCCAGAAATCTTGCAAGATTTTGATATCAACTCAAAATCTGAATCCTAATCCTGACTGAACTCTGATCACCTGTGGAATTTTAAGATGATCCAAAGCTCCTTTACCAGCCCATCTGTAACGGAGACCTGATATAAATAAACAAATTTACAGAAAGCAAGTGAGAAGTGGCAGCAGTAATGGGGGAAAAAATACAATTTCAGTTGAAGCTGATTTGGGGATGGCTTTTTGTTCTTCTCATCATCAGCTC